AGCAAAAAAAAAAAAAAAAAATGGCATAGATGTAACATAAAAATTCAAAACTGACAACTTAGGATGTAATAATAATGCTACCAGAGCACAAAAAGCAGGCGCTTAAGATAGTAAGTTGCCATGTGATATGCCGCCTTTAGAAGCTCAGTCTCCCATCTACACAGCATCACACTGGCTATCACAAGGCAGTGATGGCAACTCAGCTGCCCTGAATATGGCATCTTGACCTTTGGGCCAACCACAGAAGGAGGAAAGTCACTCTGACCTTCCCAAGCCCCTCTCCTAAAGCAGGTCATGCCTAGGAAGGCTGTATGAACTCCCTCTGGAGCAGGACATAAGATACTCATGTGAAAGGCACTGTCCCTACACCTGAAAGGAAAAAAGAATCCATAGCTCTTTGATGCAAAGACACACGTAGGGAATATGAACAGATAGATAGCCTTGTTACCATCACTCACCATCCTCTTTGTCCAATCACAGGTCTCCAGGACTACCTTAACTCCTCCTTAAACCTGGACAGGAAGCCGTAGGTTTATCATTGACATCAGGTCTTTATCTCCTCAAAAAGGTTCTTATGTAAAACTTATGTTGAATCAATTCATATACTTCCCTCTTATTAATCGAATCTACCTTTTGCTATAGGGGCCTGAGCCATGAGCCTAATGACAGTGAGGAAAACGTATTTCTTGTCCTGGACAGCAGTGCCTTACAGGTTCTTATTCTTTGGTCTATTTTGAGTCTAGAAAAATAACCCAGCAGAGACCACACTTATGTTCACTGTATAGCTCATTAGAATGTACCCTTAAAACAATAGTAACTGAAATAAACTAAAGGCCCAACTGAAGAGAAAGAAGGAGATAGTTTAAATAAGTATAAGTTTATGGACCATGTAAAATGGTCCTCATTTGCCATAAATTAAAACAGTGATCACTGTGTAGTGCTGCCTTAGAAGTTCTGGATGTTACAAAGAAAGGAGGATACACTTAGCTAGCTACAAGTGGCAAACATCTGAACGCCTTCATTAGTACACAGAAAAAGCAAAGCCAGGAAGAGCCGTTCATCAGCATGGATGTCTCACACACTCCATCACGTCTCTGGAGTGGCACCTTGCTGCTTCTGTGTCTGGGTTCTCTAAAGGGGTTTCTCTTCCCACCCTTTCCCTGTGTTTCTTGCCTGAGAGCAAGATCCTTCTGTCTGCTGCTGCTAATCCACATGCACTATTGCTCAGGACCCTGCTCTGTTCTCCTCCGCCTCACAAAGTGCTCCACAGCTCTGAAGTGAAACTGCTTTGCTTTTATTGTAATTTCCTTGATTGTTGTGTTTGCCTGTGAGTTTCCCAAAGAGAGGTGTTTTCTGCATATATGAGTGCTAAATACATGATTTTGAATAAATTAATCAATGGATATCAAAAACTGTTGAGAGGAGGGCCATTTCTTATCTTTGAATCTGCAATACAAATCATAGTGCCTGGTAGACACTAGTTATCAGTAATTCTTCACTAAGCAAAGGATAAATGAATGTATACCATCACACACGAATGCTCCCGGTATGTGATCCCAGACAGATTTCCTTCTGCACGCCCTTTTCTCCTGCTTCCAAGCAGCAGATAAGGTTCTTTTTCTAAAAGGGGTGCCATCCATGATGAGAACTTACCCAGATCAAATTGGCCAGAGATATAACCACAAGTCTGCCGGACTTCCTCACTGTCCCAGCCCAAGGGGTAGAGGGCACAGCCAGCGCCAATCAATAAACCTGTGAGGAGATAAAACAGAGAGGCATCACCAACCAATATTTAGCAATATGACAAGACTGTGGTGCCTGCTTTTTAAAATACTATGCCAAATTCTCTTAAGCAATCTAAAAAGCCAGTTTGATTCCAAGAACAATATCAAGTCTGCTTAAAATAAGAAAAAGAAAAAAGAAAACTTGACAACTCAGTTTGTTTCCAACTTGGCCTTTTAAAAGCATTAAAGCCTTGCGAATCCTGTTAAGGAAATATAATCCACAGGCCATTTTAATCACTCTTGCAAAGAGCCAACCAATTCCACCATTAATCCAAGTGAACAACGAATTCAAGAGCAAGCAGTTTCTAAGTTACACTTCATCATTCATGAGGAGTTTTTGTTTCCAAATAAGAATCAGAATGTTGCAGGGTTGTGAAATTTTACCAGGGACAGAAGGAACATGCAGATGTCCAAGAAGCTATCAGCTCATCCACTGAACCTGTGAACTGGACTGTCTGTTCCTGCATTGCTGAGACTCGTCCAGCACTCACACAGCTTAGAAATACGCTAGGAGACAGATACAGTGTAATCCAGGTCCTCTTCACATGTAAAACCAAAAGGTTTGAAAATTAACCAGAAGAAAGGGGTTTTATTTTAATATAACTTAAGCTATTGTGGCAGTAGACTGTGCTGCCTGCCCTCATCAGCCTTTAGTTTTGCATCAAAACCTAAAATGGCTTCAAAAGAAGCCCAATGAGATTTAAACACTCACCACTGGACTCTCTGAGCTAATCTGAAAGTAAGATCTTGTCACATCAGTCATTGAGCATTAGCATCATCCTCAGTATAAAGGTGTTGAGGCAGTAGCACCAATTTATAGTAGTCTGACGGGTGACTGTGAATTACCAGGCACCACTAAGCAGCCCCCAGTGGGAAAACCCTACAGAACAGTAATGTGAAGGAAAAATGCAGGAAAGCAGGTCTTCAACATTGACACACCCAATCCAAATTCTTTCTGTCTCTATTTCCCATTTGTCCTGTTCCCCACATCAGTGGGTAACACTGGGTAAACTCTATTTCCCTAAGGTAGTCATCAACCACTAGGCTGTGCCCTGAGGTGAGACACCCCTGTGGTGTGACACTCGTTTTCTGTTCTGGTACCCTTCCCTTCAGCAGGTCCCTTGGTTTACAAAAAAAGTGATTAGAGGATCCTGGATCCGAGAGTTCAGAATCATTGGAACTATACAGTCTGGACCAGTATGTCCAGTGCATAGACAGGAATCCTGTTCCAGCTGGCGCATAATCCAGAAAGCAATAGCACTAGATTTTATTGACCAGGCAAATGCCCCGCTGGTGGGCTTCCTCTGGCTTTTCCCACTGGGGAAAATTTTTCCAAGGTAGTTTTCTCCACCATTAGGCAAAGAGATGATTGATGAGGATGTCAAAGTTTGTACAAATCGAATTCCATGAATGTTTAGTAAACAGTGTAATAACGTTCCACAATACTCCGTTCTTAATAGGCAACAGCCACTGTATTAGTTCCCTTTTTATTGCTGGGATGAAACACTCTGACCAAAATTAACTTGAGGAGGAAAGGATTTATGTCATCTTATAGCCCTTAGGGCACAGTCCATCACTAAGGGAAGTCAGGGTAGGAACTCAAGGCAGGAACCTGGAGGCAGAAACTGAAGCACAGACCATGGGAGAAGGCTGCTTGCAGGCTTGCTCTCCCTGGCCTGCTCAGTTACCTCTCTTATACAACCCAGACCTACCTGCCTAGGGACGGCACCTCTCACAGTGGTCTGCTCCCCTCCCCCCATATCAATTAGCAATTGGGAAATGGCTTACAGACACAGCTAAGGCAATTCAATGGAGGAAATTCCTCAATTGAGGTTCCTCTTTCCCAAGTGTCTATGGTTTGTTTCAAGTTGACAAAAACTAACCCCCACAGCTATCTGGGGGGAGAGGGTTGTAATTTTTAAAGGATAAAAAATACAGAAATGTTTGGAATAGAACTTGTTTAAGTGTCAAGAATTTTTTTTAATTAACATGTAAGCCATCAATAGTTTTCTCTTTGATATGGAAATAAATGATCATCTTATTTGCTAACTATGAAGTCAGAAAACTACTTCCTTGATCCATTTGTATGCTAGCTGGCTTTGAACACTGAACAGAAAGGAGCTTAGCCATGTTTAGATGTGTAGGAAGCAATTCCCTAAGTAGCAAAACATTTTGGGCTCACAGTTCTTCTACAAAATACTGGACTATCTTTGTGATAACACAATTAGCAATAATTTTATACAAAGAAAATTCACAAAATATGTGTGAATGCTAAGCAAGCATTCTTCTACCAAACTACATTGCTAGCCTTGTATATAAGTTTTAAAAAGGAAACTATGAACATATGCTCACATTACAAAAAAAGTGTTGTTCAGTGGAGGGCAACTAGTTCATGTGAATTTTTATATTAATATTTATGTACCCTGTTTTGTCGTCTGCTACTGTTTGCTAACAGAAAGCATACTACAGACTCTAAAGATCAGTTCTGGGGGAAAAGTAAATATCCTTGAGGCTAATTGACTGTCACAATTGTTAGGCTCTGTAGGTGAGCATCAACAGCTTCCTGACTACCTTGTTACTACCACTGCAGGCAAGAGGGAGTCTTGAATTGAAATTCCACCTGATGTGCACCAAACATCTATATTAGCAAGTGGGCACATAGTCATGAAATCAGTTCTGTTTTCCAGTAAAGGATTCCCTACAACTCCATTAAATAGAGTTGTTAGTATCTCAATACACAATGAACACTGCAAATATCCAGGAACAGACTCAGGAAATGTCAGGTCATATCAGGCAACAATATCTCCCATTCGGTGGAAGGGGACCCATGACACACTTGGAAAGGATGTGGGGATGGTCAGATTTGTATGCTGGGCCTGGTGCTGCTTGTTAATAGCTAAACCCATCCCTGTTCTAAAATCTACTTCCTAAACTCTCCTGCTAGCAGAAGTTTCATGTCTTAGTGTGTTCTTGAGAAGCCTTAGAAGATGAGATCAGTGAGGGGTACTTAGAAGATGAAAGGGATAACCTGGTATTTGCCACTAGCAGCTGAGGTCAAGGCATGTCTTCCTGCAGACTGCAGACAAGATTTGGAGAGGAGTTGCCAGGCCTCCTCACCACAGCACCTAGAGAGGGCAATCAATTATCAGCTTATTGTGATCCTTAGACCTCTGATTTCTAGACTTCTGCAAAGCAGCTTCTCTGACCTTCACTTTCCCAGATCTTCCAACAGGCTGGCCAAACTGCAAATTCCTGACTCCATTCCTTCCTACCGGAGTTACCTAGGATGGTTTCTTTCAGTAGCCAAACCCTGGTTGGTCCATGCCTTACTCACACGAGATACACGATACAAATCTTCATATGCTATCGTATTGATCGAACATTATCAAAATGCTAAATTTAATATCATCTCTCCAATACAATGCAAGCTATTTTTTAAAGATATGTATATTAGGGATACATCTATTTGAAGGGTTAGCCTCTTCCCTTCTCTGTGGTGTTGTCTGAGGTTAGGAAATTTAGGGTGCTAACTAACCTCTTCAAGAGATTTCTAAAAAGGAGTCCAATGTCAACCAACTGTCCTTAAGGTATAGATTGAAGTTAACTAGCATTTTATGGTCTACGCTAAAAGCAAAATACTATAAAATAGAAGTAATTAAATATGAAAGTGAGAACATCTGTTTTTGGGGGGTTCTTTTTGTTGATTTTTTTTTTAACAGGCTCTCCTGTTAAGTCACATCCCACCTGGAAGTTACAATGTGAACCAGGGTGGCCTCCATCTCGCAAAGATCCACCTGATTCTGCCTCCCGAGGGCTGGGATTAAAGGCATACGCCACCATGCCTGGCGTGAGAGCATCTTTTTAATAAAAAAAAAAAAAAATTTGCCATTGTCCAGTTGCAACTCTGCTAAACCTCAGTCCATGCCTTAGAAATCAATTTTGTCCAAAGCAGATTGGAAACCCCTGATTTACAGTCTACTTGGGTATTACACTATATGCTAAAATGCGGGGGGTGGGGGGGTGTCAAAGAAGTTGAAGTATTTGCTCAAATGGTGTCTTAATAATCCAACAGGTTTTAATAGCTATGGCTGCTTAATTTGTTTCTTGGGAATAAATGGGTCAATTGGAATCTCTAGCTTCCAAACTTTAATATTATTTACAGAGATTTTTCTTTATTTTACTTATAAACCATGTTATCTATTTTACTTATAGAGCTTAACTTTAAGTTCCTTTGCCACTACCACAAAGGACATCATAAAAAAAAGCCACATTTTCACACTTTCTGAAAACCTGTGCAGACGCAGGTGAGTGAGAAAAGAAGGGGCGGTGAGGGGTGCAGACCTGGGAAAGTGAGGTGAGAGGAGGAGGAGGTGAGACGTCGTCCCAGTCATGGCTCACTTACAATTTAGAAGTAATCTCTTTTTGCAGTCCTAAAGACGCTGCAACTTTTAAGGAGACCTGAGTAAATCACAAATTGCAAATTAGATTGGTCTTTAGTTTTCACCCAGCCTCATCACTGAGATCAGCTGGTGGTGGGTGAGGGTGGTAGACCATGAAGATCATATTATAAGAGAATTGTAGAGCCATAGCCGCCCAAAAACAGAAGGGGAAAAAAAAAAAACAACCTAGATGACTCAATAATTCTTAAATTTAACAAATCTATTTTAATAATATGTTGTTGATTAGGCCATTTCATCCTGAGTACCCAGGAGTTGGGGCTCATGCCCTTCAAGGACAATTAAAATATTTTAAGAGTCAAGTCAGTGGAACGACCTTTAAGGAAGAAGTCAATGTTAATGGAAAAGGGAGCTCAGAAAAGCGCAGAACGATGGACACTCCAGGGAGATGTTGGCCGCAGCTACAAAGTCTGCAGCTCAGCCCGGTGAGCTCCTGGCCTCCAGCCTCAGGGTGGATGCTCGCTCTCTGCCCATACGCCCCCTACAGGATAGTTTCTAGTCATTCCTCTTA